GAGAATTTGTTAAAGAATCTCAGTAGTTCTCTGACCTGTAGTTGGTTATTTCCAAGTTGATTTCCTGCTATAATGTTATTGTTTACTATTCTCCATTTTAAACTAGGTAAATTGCAGTCTCCAAAAAAGATAATATCTAGTACAGTGGTACCTCGGAATGCGAGTGTCCCTGTATGCGAGTTTTTCGGAAGACGAGCAGGATTTACTCCAAAAATATGTCTCGGAAGGCGAGGGTTACCTCGGGACGCGAGTTTGTTGATACGTGTACAGGCCGACTGGCGCGTGGTGGCATGGCGATCGCGCCTCAGTTTACCAGTGTCTCGTGTCCAGTGACTATCCCACCTGAATTCTTCACAAGGATTTACAGTTTTTTATCGTTTTTTTGGCCATTTGAGCATAAAAGTTGTCATTATATATCTTGCCATGGGTCTCAAGAAAGCCATTGGTAAGGTTCAACCTAAGAAAATAGCTGTGAGTAGAGGATGTCCCTTCTTGATTAAGAAAATGTGTGAAGTATGGGAAGAACTGCAAAGTTTTGTTGAAAAAACTCACCCAGATAAAGCTGTAGCAGGCCGTTGCATTGACCTTTTAAATGATAATGTGATGTCTTACTACAGACAAGTGTTAAAATGTAGGGAAAAACAAGTGTCATTAGACAAATTCTTAGTAAAACAAGCAAGTCCTAGTGGCATGCAGGCAATATGTGCCAGAGTGTGCATACCAGTGAAGTCCTCACTGCCTGATGTGATAATGGAAGGGGACTCCCCTTCCAAACAGTAACTCCTCTCTTCCTCCCCCCTCCTCACCATCTTCCATACGCCTACAGCATTCAACAGCAAGGTGAGTAATAACTTGAACATAGTTTTGTAGGTTTATTTAGATGAATTAGGTATAAAAATTTAGCTTGATGTGGGGTTTTTGGGGTAGTCAGGAACGGATTAATTCATTTCCCTTTATTTCTTATGGGGAAATTAGCTTCGGAATGCGAGTTTTCGGAATACGAGGCATCTCCAGGAACCAATTAAACTCTTAAACTGAGGTATGCCTGTACTGGGTTTGCTAGGTTATCAAGGATATTCTCTATTTTGTGTATCTGCTCAGTGAATTCCTGAACTGTTGCATCTGGTGGTTTGTATATTAGAATAATAATTAGATTTATATTTTCTACCTTGATTTCAAGTACCTCTACAATCTCATTGATCAGGTTCAGGAGCTCTGTGCATGTCAGTTCCTCTTTAACACTTTCGCCCGGGCATGACGCAGCATTGCATCATCCGTTTACTGTCGGTAATGCCGGGGATGACGCAGCATTGCGTCATCCACTTTAAATAATCGCCAAAAATCAGGTTTTTATCCGATTTTTGGGGGACTGGTTTTGAAATGCGCGCCGATGTCTTCCCATTTTTTTTGTTGAGCCTCGTGGCCCTCAGGCGGCTTGGCACACGCCGTGGGCCCATTGTTTTCGCTCCACTGTTGTGACCAATGTCGCCTCCCCTCGCATCTCAAACGTGTGAACACTTTGGCTATTTTCCGTGGCTATATTTCTTACTGCAGCTTTAGAAACTATCTACGCTTACTCCACGATGGATAGTGATCATGAACAAGGCCCTTCCAGGAAGAAAATTGCAAAAGAAAGGCTTGAAAAGGGCGGGAATTGGGAGTGTAGCTGGAAGGCGTCTGAGCGCTCACTTGCGGCTAACGCGTGGCCCGTCTTCAACTCGTCGGCGGTTGGAGCGTGACCAGGTTTTTTATTTTATATGCTAATGTTCATCTAGAGAATTCTATTGCAAACCCATTGAGACCAAAATAAAAGGTCTAGGACGAAAATTGAGGTGACCAGAGTGAAAATAGTGAAAACATTTTATCGCGTTTGCGCGCTCCTGGGTAACTCGTTCGCAATTTCGCTGTTTGCTGCGGGTAATTAGCCGGGCTTTTGGAGTTTATATGCATTTAATGCTGTAGAGAATTCTATTGCGAACACAATGATACAAAATTTAATATCGTAGGACGAGAATTAAGGTGACAAAGTTGAAGAGAGTATACACTTTTCAGAATTTACGCGCGCTCCCGTGACACCCTGGGTCCCATATCGCACAGTTGAGGGGTGGCGCGCGGGGTACGCCAAAGTGTTAATATTCAGACCTACTCCTCCATTTGACCTAATTACACTGTCACATCTATATAAATTATAATCTGGGATCCATATTTCACTATCCATGCATCTTTCATGTGGGCTTCTGTAAGTGCACCAAATATTGAATTCAATTATATTAGAAGGCCATTTAAGAATTTAACTTTATTCCTGGATTTTGACTTTTGGCCTTGTATGTTTGCAAATATACAGAAGGACAACTCTTCCCTGGTAAGTCCCCAAGCGAGCTAGGACCTGGAACAACAGCTGAACCAGGGATGAGAGGTACAGGTAACCCACCTCACCCAGTCCTGCTTGAAGGCGTCGATCCCGACGGCCTCACAGTCAGGAAAGGGCTCCATGTATACCGGAGCATGCCTCGACCACGCCGACACGAAGAAATCCAACTCTGGAAGCCCGAACGTCCGGCAAAGTCAACTGAAAGCCTTTCCAACAGAGCCAACTTTTCGTGGAAAGGGGAATGAACCGGGACAGGCTGTCAGCCAGGACATTGGACACCCGCCGAACGTGAACTACCTTTAGAGCCAAACCCCGAGAACTCAGCAGACGATTCACCCGAAGCGATCAGCTCCAAAGAGCCAAGGACTGCATCGAACCCCATCCTTGGCTCTGCACATGCAGCACCGGTACCGATGATAAACACTTGACCACCACACACACAACAACACAGCAGAGGTCGCAACGAAGGCAAAACACTGCCCTGGAAATCAAGGCCAGAGAAGACATCTGCCCCGGAACACATTAGCTAACAAACTGGAGTGTTGGGTACCCGGCGCAGGGAAGTCTGGGGCTTTCCCCTCCCCCTCTCGGGGAGAGGAGAGCTGCACTGATGAGCACTGGAGTGTGATAATTACTTGTTTGCGTGTTTCCTTGGGATTGGAGGGAGTTTTACCTCTTCTTTCAGTTTTTAGTCGTACTTTTCTTACCATGTGGGGTTTATTTTGTTATGCCTACCCTTCTGGGTGCCTAACCCCGGTCGATAACAGATAAGGGAAAAACCCCAACCACAGGGGGGGGGGGGTTTCCACGGGCCATTGCTCCCTGCAACCACTCTGCAGCGGCCAGGTTCTGGCTCGTGTTTCACTGTAGTTCGAACACCTTGGACTAATGCCCCAGTCTAATATATCACGCATTAGCCCAATAGCCCCAGGAAACTGAAGGGGCTTCCCACAGAAAACATGACCTCAAAATAAGGGAAGTCTGGTAATAGTAGAAGACCTATGGACAATGTATTGGTTATGAGAAGGCCAACACAGCTCACCTGAGCCTGTGAAGGCTGACATCAGTGCACCTTGGTTAGGTGGTGCTAGTGCACCTCACCAGCCTGCCTGACTGTGGTGCTAGTACAGCACACCAGCCAGCCTGACTGGTGCTAGTGCAGCACACCAGCCAGCCTGACTGTGGTGCTAGTGCACCACACCAGCCTGCCTGACTGTTGTGCTAGTGCACCTCACCAACCAGCCTGACTGTGGTGCTAGTGCAGCACACCAGCCAGCATGACTGTGGTGCTAGTGTACCACACCAGCCAGCATGACTGTGGACTGTGGTGCTAGTGCAGCACACCAGCCAGCCTGACTGTGGTGTAGTGCACCACACCAGCCAGCATGACTGTGGTGCTAGTGTACCACACCAGCCAGCATGACTGTGGTGCTAGTGCACCACACCAGCCAGCATGACTGTGGTGTAGTGTACCACACCAGCCAGCATGACTGTGGTGCTAGTGTACCACACCAGCCAGCATGACTGTGGTGTAGTGTACCACACCAGCCTGCCTGACTGTGGTGCTAGTGCACCACACCAGCCTGCCTGACTGTGGTGCTAGTGCACCACACCAGCCAGCATGACTGTGGTGTAGTGTACCACACCAGCCTGCCTGACTGTGGTGCTAGTGCACCACACCAGCCTGCCTGACTGTGGTGCTAGTGTACCACACCAGCCAGCATGACTGTGGTGTAGTGTACTACACCAGCCTGCCTGACTGTGGTGCTAGTGCACCACACCAGCCTGCCTGACTGTGGTGCTAGTGTACCACACCAGCCAGCATGACTGTGGTGTAGTGTACCACACCAGCCTGCCTGACTGTGGTGCTAGTGCACCACACCAGCCTGCCTGACTGTGGTGCTAGTGTACCACACCAGCCAGCATGACTGTGGTGTAGTGTACCACACCAGCCTGCCTGACTGTGGTGCTAGTGTACCACACCAGCCAGCATGACTGTGGTGCTAGTGCACCACACCAGCCAGCATGACTGTGGTGTAGTGTACCACACCAGCCAGCATGACTGTGGTGTAGTGTACCACACCAGCCAGCATGACTGTGGTGTAGTGTACCACACCAGCCTGCCTGACTGTGGTGCTAGTGCAGCACACCAACCAGCATGACTATGGTGCTAGTGCAGCACACCAGCCAGCCAGACGGTGGTGCTAGTGCAGCACACCAACCAGCCTGACTATGGTGCTAGTGCAGCACACCAGCCAGCCAGACGGTGGTGCTATTGCAGCACACTGTCCTAAGTACACAGTAGACCCCTATCTGAGGGGATGACTGAACACGAGAACTCAGTAGCCTGACACTGTTCATATCAACCACTCATATCAAGACAAACTTGAGTAGTAAAAACAATTATTGACTACAATGAACCAAAAATATTTTTATTTCAATTTTGTTTACAGCACAACGTAAACAACATTTTTTACAACTATTTTTACACCACACAAACAATCCATGTTAACTTCCTCCCCCCACATAGAACCAGAAGCTTCGTACATGCACACTACAGATGTAACACCCTCCTGTTTTCCTCCCACTTATTATACTGTTAATTTAATGAAACAAGATAAAACTGTACCTTTAAAACATCACACTTCAATCGTCTTAAGAAGAAGGGTTTCATGATACGCTTTGCTTGCTCGATTCTCTCTCTTTCAAACTTTCCTTTACCACCTCCGTCTCCCTTCTGTAAATGATAAAATATCTATGTAAATATATAGGTATAATAAAATATATGACTTCACAAACACAGAGACTAACACATCTTTCTCATTATGGAAAATAAAAATATTCTTATTTACAGTATTTAAATGAGCTGATCTAATACTATAATGTAATATAATTACAGTATCATAAAAACGGTCATCGCCTCTTTCCTTTACTGATGCATTCTTCACAATTGTTTTTCACAAATAGAGGTTTTGTTCAAAGGTTCAGAATTGCTAATTAAATACATTCCTATGAATGTTTTCAGTATTAAAACCGTGCAAAACCAGAGCGAACCGTTCAGAGGGCTGAACTGCAAAAGGGCAAGTGAGAATCCTGAGTAGAACTAGACCTCTGCAACGCCTCGTTATAACCTAACACACCCGAGGACCTACCTAGACCAATAACAGCCCGGGTAACCATCCAACCAGACTGCCCCTGAAAGGGAACAGAACCCATAGCAAACAATTCCTAATCAATTGTTAGCATGAGAAAGCTGCATTATTTATCGAGTTGTTCATACAAACACATATATACTGTACATACATATACATATATGCATACATATACATACACATACACACATATATACCCATATGCATATACATAACTATACACTACATACACACATACATACTAAATTTTTCAATTATGGGAGAAGGATATCTGGTTAGTATATCATCTGGGAATTATGTACTGTGGGGCTGGGTTATCATCTAGTGAATCGCGGCTCTTGGGCCACCAGCTGTGGGAGCGGGGCGTCTCATTTTGGAGTAACCTGTCTAACATTGGGTTCTCTAACATTTCGATGGTGTTCCATACCCTGATGGCTTGGTGCTGCAGTCTGATGTTTAGTGCCTGCATGTTCAGGAGTTCATGGAGCTCCTGGATTGTCTGATCATATGATGGACGATGTTTTGCTGCTTTATGGGGGTGTTGAGGGGGATGGAGGTGTCGGGGAGTTGGGGGTGTCGGGGGGGATGGGGGTGTCGAGGGGTATTAGGGTGTCGAGGGATGGGGTTTGGGGTGTTGGAGGGATGGGGGGATGTGGGTGTCAGGGGGGATGAGGGTGTCAGGGGGGGATGGGGGTGTCAGGGGGGGGGATGGGGGGGGGTGTCAGGGGGGGATGGGGGTGTCGGGGGGGGAGGGAATGGGGGTGTCGGGGGGGGGGGGGATGGGGGTTCGGGGGGGGGGTGTCAGGGGGGGGGGATGGGGGTGTCAGGGGGGGATGGGGGTGTCGGGGGGGGAGGGAATGGGGGTGTCGGGGGGGGGGGGGATGGGGGTTTCGGGGGGGGTGTCGGGGGGGGTGTCGGGGGGGGATGGGGGTGTCGGGGGGGGATGGGGGTGTCGGGGGGGGGATGGGGGTGTCAGGGGGGGGGATGGGGTGTCGGGGGGGATGGGGGTGTCGGGGGGTATTAGGGTGTCGAGGGATGGGGTTTGGGGTGTTGGAGGGATGGGGGGATGTGGGTGTCGGGGGGGGGGGATGTGGGTGTCGGGGGGGGGGATGGGGGTGTCGGGGGGTATTAGGGTGTCGAGGGATGGGGTTTGGGGTGTTGGAGGGATGGGGGGATGTGGGTGTCGGGGGGGGGGATGTGGGTGTCAGGGGGGGATGGGGGTGTCAGGGGGGATGGGGGTCAGGGGGGGATTGGGTGTCAGGGGGGATGAGGGTGTCAGGGGGGGATGGGGGTGTCAGGGGGGGGGATGGGGGGTGTCAGGGGGGGATGGGGGTGTCGGGGGGGGAGGGAATGGGGGTGTCGGGGGGGGGGGGGGGGATGGGGGTTCGGGGGGGGTGTCGGGGGGGGTGTGTCGGGGGGGGATGGGGGTGTCGGGGGGGATGGGGGTGTCGGGGGGGGATGGGGGTGTCAGGGGGGGGGGATGGGGTGTCGGGGGGATGGGGGTGTCGGGGGGGATGGGGGTGTCGGGGGGGGGATGGGGGTGTCGGGGGGGGATGGGGGTGTCAGGGGGGGGGGGGGTCCGGGGGGGGGGGGGGGTGTCGGGGGGGGGGGGGTGTCGGGGGGGGGGGGGGGGTCGGGTCGGGGGGGGGGGGGGGGTGTCGGGGGGGGGGGGTGTCGGGGGATGGGGGGTGTCAGGGAGGGGGGGGGTGTCGGGGGTGGGGGGGGGGGGGGTGTCAGGGGGGGGGGGGGGGGGGAAAGGGGGTGTGGGGGGGGGGAAAGGGGGTGTCGGGGGGGGGGGGGGAATGGGGGTGTCGGGGGGGGGGGAATGGGGGTGTCGGGGGGGGGGGGGGGGAATGGGGGTGTCGGGGGGGGGGGGGGGGGGGGGTGTCGGGGTGGGGGGGATGGGGGTGTCGGGGAGATGGGGTGTCGGGGGGGGGAATGGGGGTGTCGGGGGGGGGGATGGGGGTGTCGGGGGGGGGGGATGGGGTGTCGGGGGGGGGGGGGGGATGGGGGTGTCGGGGGGGGGGGATGGGGGTGTCGGGGGGGGGGGGGATGGGGGTGTCGGGGAGATGGGGTGTCAAGAGGATGGGGGCTGTCGGGGGGATGGGGGCTGTCGGGGGGATGGGGGCTGTCGGGGGATGGGGGCTGTCGGCTGTCAGGGGGATGGGGGCTGTCAGGGGGATGGGAGCTGTCAGGGGGATGGGAGCTGTCAGGGGGGGATGGGAGCTGTCAGGGGGATGGGGGCTGTCAGGGGGATGGGGGCTGTCATGGGGATGGGAGCTGTCGGGGGGATGGGGGCTGTCGGGGGGATGGGGGCTGTTGGGGGGATGGGGGCTGTCGTGGGGGACGGGGGCTGTCGTGGGGGATGGGGGCTGTCGTAGGGGATGGGGGCTGTCGTGGGGGATGGGGGCTGTCGTGGGGGATGGGGGCTGTCGTGGGGGATGGGGGCTGTCGTGGGGGATGGGGGCTGTCGGGGAATGGGGGCTGTCGGGGGATGGGGGCTGTCGGGGGGATGGGGGCTGTCATGGGGGATGGGAGCTGTCAGGGGGATGGGAGCTGTCAGGGGGATGGGAGCTGTCGTGGGGGATGGGGGCTGTCGTGGGGGATGGGGGCTGTCGGGGAATGGGGGCTGTCGGGGGGATGGGGGCTGTCGGGGGGATGGGGGCTGTCGTGGGGGATGGGAGCTGTCAGGGGGATGGGGGCTGTCGGGGGGATGGGAGCTGTCGGGGGGATGGGGGCTGTCGTGGGGGATGGGGGCTGTCGTGGGGGATGGGGGCTGTCGTGGGGGATGGGGGCTGTCGTGGGGGATGGGGGGCTGTCGGGGGATGGGGGCTGTCGTGGGGGATGGGGGCTGTCGTGGGGGATGGGGGCTGTCGTGGGGGATGGGGGCTGTCGTGGGGGATGGGGGCTGTCGTGGGGGATGGGGGCTGTCGTGGGGGATGGGGGCTGTCGTGGGGGATGGGGGCTGTCGTGGGGGATGGGGGCTGTCGTGGGGGATGGGGGCTGTCGTGGGGGATGGGGGCTGTCGTGGGGGATGGGGGCTGTCGTGGGGGATGGGGGCTGTCGTGGGGGATGAGGGCTGTCGTGGGGGATGAGGGCTGTCGTGGGGGATGAGGGCTGTCGTGGGGGATGGGGGCTGTCGTGGGGGATGGGGGCTGTCGTGGGGGATGGGGGCTGTCGTGGGGGATGGGGGCTGTCGGGGTTGATGGGTGTAAGGTGTTGGGGATTGATTTTGCTTATTAGGTCATCCCAGAGTACACCAAACAATGGGATGACCTAATAAGCAAAATCCATGTCGGTGTCGGGGGGGGGGGGGGGATGGGGGTGTCGGGGGGGGGGCTGGGGGGTGTCGGGGGGGGATGGGGGTGTCGGGGGGGGGGTGAATGGGGGTGTCGGGGGGGTGAATGGGGGTGTCGGGGGGGGAATGGGGGTGTCGGGGGGGGGGGATGGGGGTGTCGGGGGGGGAGGGAATGGGGGTGTCGGGGGGGGGGGGGGGAATGGGGGTGTCGGGGGGGGATGGGGGTGTCGGGGAGATGGGGTGTCGGGGGGGGGGGGGGGGGAATGGGGGTGTCGTGGGGGGGGGGGGGATGGGGGTGTCGGGGAGATGGGGTGTCAAGAGGATGGGGGCTGTCGTGGGGATGGGGGCTGTCGGGGAATGGGGGCTGTCGGGGGGATGGGGGCTGTCGGGGGGATGGGGGCTGTCATGGGGGATGGGGGCTGTCATGGGGGATGGGAGCTGTCAGGGGGATGGGAGCTGTCAGGGGGATGGGAGCTGTCGTGGGGGATGGGGGCTGTCGTGGGGGATGGGGGCTGTCGTGGGGGATGGGGGCTGTCGGGGAATGGGGGCTGTCGGGGGGATGGGGGCTGTCGGGGGGATGGGGGCTGTCGTGGGGGATGGGAGCTGTCGGGGGATGGGAGCTGTCGGGGGGATGGGGGCTGTCGGGGGGATGGGAGCTGTCGGGGGGATGGGGGCTGTCGTGGGGGATGGGGGCTGTCGTGGGGGATGGGGGCTGTCGTGGGGGATGGGGGCTGTCGTGGGGGATGGGGGCTGTCGGGGGATGGGGGCTGTCGTGGGGGATGGGGGCTGTCGTGGGGGATGGGGGCTGTCGTGGGGGATGGGGGCTGTCGTGGGGGATGGGGGCTGTCGTGGGGGATGGGGGCTGTCGTGGGGGATGGGGGCTGTCGTGGGGGATGGGGGCTGTCGTGGGGGATGGGGGCTGTCGTAGGGGATGGGGGCTGTCGTGGGGGATGGGGGCTGTCGTGGGGGATGAGGGCTGTCGTGGGGGATGAGGGCTGTCGTGGGGGATGAGGGCTGTCGTGGGGGATGGGGGCTGTCGTGGGGGATGGGGGCTGTCGTGGGGGATGGGGGCTGTCGTGGGGGATGGGGGCTGTCGGGGTTGATGGGTGTAAGGTGTTGGGGATTGATTTTGCTTATTAGGTCATCCCAGAGTACACCAAACAATGGGATGACCTAATAAGCAAAATCCATGTCGGTGTCGGGGGGGGGGGGGGGGGGATGGGGGGGGTGTGGGGGGGGGGGGCTGGGGGTGTCGGGGGGGGGATGGGGGTGTCGAGGGGGATGGGG